TCCACTACTAGCAGACTGGTTTATGGCTAGTTTAGAGAACGGACCCTTTAAATCACCGATCGAAGGTTTTCAACCGTACAAAAGGTATGTGGACGATACTTTCACTATCTCTCGTCATCAAAATAGTTTGAATCATGTCCTACAAATATTCAATAACTGTCATTCCGTAGTTAGATTCACCCTTGAGGTCGAAAATCGATTGATAATTCACTTTATTGCTGTCGAGCGACAAGAACAACTGATGGAACGTTAAGTAGATCAATTCACAGAAAACCAATGTGGAATGGTCAAATGACGAACTTTAGTAGCTGAGTCCCTATGAGTCGTAAGCGAAATCTGATCATACCTCCTGCTAATCGCATTAGACGAATCTGCAGTCCCGATGTGTTAGAAGAGAAAATTTCTGTTCTAAAGAACATCCTGATTGAAAAAGAATTTCCATCACTCTTCATAGACAAAAACATCAAGCCTAAACTTCACAAAGAGAACCTCACCACCGTGCCAAAAAAGACACTATATAAATCTAAATTTCTACTGCTGAGACTGTAAAAAGGAGGATATCAAACGCTCTAAGGAGAATTTTTTTACATCAACCCTGAGACTGATATTCTCTTGTGACCCAACGATTTCTAACGACTCAAAGGAGAAACTTTCACATCTGACCACTTCTGAGTGCGTATGTCAATTCTCCCGCTCTTGCAGAGGCAGGTATATAGATCGTTCGATGTGACTGTTATGCAAAAGCGTTCAAAAACATTATGCCGCGTGGTTACAAAGAGCTAACAATGGAGCGATAAGGAGTACTATAATTGAACACATCGTGTACACGAATCATTTGTCTCAAGAACCTCCTCGTTTAAAGTCATCTATAAAGTAAAAACAAACCTTCCAAAGGCTGTATGTCTTCGTATTCTCTGCATCGTCGAGGCTCTGGCCATCCATATGAAGGAACCTGAACTATGTACGCAAAAGAAGATCTTTCAACTCCTTCTCCTTTTATGTTCTTAGTTTCCAGTCTTCAAAATCTCTACCTCCCCCTTTTCTTTTCATTTTTCTGTTTAGACAATGTTCACTTCAGTAATTTGCTACTCATTCTTGTTGCTATACTCTACCTGATCACAATTCAGTTTCTAATTATCTCGTCATATTGCGAAACTTGTCCAAACTTATTAATATTTACTACTCATCAGCTTCTGGTTTTGTGATTCTAATGACAGCTCATTTATTGAGAAGGTATAGCATTGAAGTGCTAGGAATCTGTGAAAGCAGGTGGAATGGAGGTGGACTCACCAAACTGTCAACTGGAGAGTCAATAATCTACTCCGGTCACCCAGACGACAACCATAAGCACACTGAGGGAGTGGCTATCATGATGTCCCCAACAGCATCGAAGGCTCTCATATAGTGGGAACCAATCTCCTCCTGCAGGATCATAACAGCAAGGTCCAACTCAAAAGGAAGGAAAGTCACAATCATACAATGCTACGCTACGTTATGCACCTACAAATAATGCAGATGAAGAGAAGAAGGAGGAATTCTATAGACAACTGCAGTCAACACTGGACAAGACCTCAGTTGGCGATATCAAAATTCTAATGGGCGAAATGAATGTCAAACTGGGAGGGGGACAACATAGGAAGAGAACCAATCATTGGTCGAGAAGCACTAGGTGAAATAAACGAGGAAGTAGAACTGATTGCAGACTTCTGTGCATTCAACGAGTTGGTGATTGGAGGCACTGTGTTCAGGCACAGGGACATTCACAAAGTGACATGGATTTCACTTCACCAGATTGACATACTAAAAATCAGATCGACTTCATCTCAATGAGAAGAAAGTGGAGACGCAGCCTACTGGAAACAAGATCAGATCAAGAGGGGGAGCAGATGTAGGTTCACATCAAGTGCAAGGAACCTACCTGCAAAATTAAGTTGAAAGCCTTCAAAGAAGTTGGTGATAGACCGAGGTTCAAGTTCAACACACAGAAACTGTAGGACAAAACTACAAAAGAAATCTTCACGTCAGCCATCAAGACAAAATGTGAGATATTGAGGAACATCCCTGAAGAAACCTGTGTGGAAGAACACTGGAAGTCTTTGAAAGAGATGTGGAAAGAAACCTGCATAGCCATTTTAGGAAGGAAGAAGATAAGGAATGGATCTCGACGGATACCTGGAAGCTGATAGAGGAGAGGAGGATGGCGAAGCAGAAGATAAGCCAGTGCAAGGATGAACGATAGGAGAAACTGAGTACAATGTATTTAACACTGGACAAATGAGTGAAGAAGAGTGCACGGAAAGACAAAAGACACTTCTAGGACACACTGTCAAGTGAGGCAGAACAGGCTGCAGGTAGGAGAGACCTGACAACACTATATCAAACAACCAAAATGCTATCTGGGAAGAGATCAACACAGATGAAACCCATAAAAGATGATGAAGGAAATCTAGTTACTAAAGAAGAGAAACAAAGGAAACGATGGGTTGACCACTTCGAGAAGCTCTTGAGCCGACCACCACCACCTGCGACTCGTCCAGAAATACTACCTCCAGCTCAGTTACAGAACTACCAGTGAACACAAATCCTCCGACAAGAGCAGAAGTGAAGTCCTGAACGCCATAAAGTTGCTGAAATGCGGGAAAGCAGCAGGACCAGATGGCATCCCGCCAGAAGCACTGAGAGCAGACGCAGAGACAACAGCGGACATGCTCACACCACTATTACAGAAGGTCTGGAAGCAAGGGAAGGTACCGGCAGATTGGATGAAGGGCTATCTTACCCAAGAAGGGTGGGCGACCTAAGTCTTTGCAAGAACTTGTGAGGAATCATGCTTCTGTCCACCCACAGCAAGCAAAATATTATACCTCATCATCCTGGAGAGACTAAAGGATGCGTTCGATTCAAAAGTACGACCGGAACAGGCTGGCTGGCTGGCTTCAGGAAGTACAAATCGTGTGCGGATCAAATAGCAACGCCACACCACGCATCATCATAGAACAGAGTATAGAATGGCAGTCAACTCTTCACCTTAACTCAACTTCATCCACTTTGAAGAGTCTTTTGACAGCGTCGACCTAGAAGTAATTTGGCAGTTGCTTCAACACTATGGAATACCACAAACCTTTATCAACCTCATTCAACAACTATGTGAAGACGCTACATACCAGCCAAGTAATTCACAATGGGAAGCTCAGTGATGCTTTTGAAGTGAAGTGAAGACAGGAGTAAAACAAGGCTGTCTACTATCACCGATGATCTTCCTGATTGTAGTGGACTGGATCATGCAGCAAACAGTGAGAGGTGAGAAGAGGGTGATACGCCGGCTGGACCGGGGAAAAGATCCTAGGAGATTTGGATTTCACTGATGACTTGTGTCTAATGTCAGACAAACTGGAATATCTACAGGCGAAATCGAACAAGTTGACAGGAGAGGGAGGGTAGCGAACACGGGACTTCAAGTGGACGTGGAGAAGATAGAGGTGATGAAGATACCCAACCAACACCAACACCACCAACGACAACAACAACAGCAACAACAAGCTCCAGCCACCATCGGTGGGAGAAACTTTAAGGAAGTATCCTCTTTCACGTGTCTAGGCAGCACGGTTTCAACTACAGGCGGCACAGACAAGGACGTGAAAGTCAGGATCGGAAAGTCAGCAAGACAGGCGTTCATTAACCTGGAACTAGTGGTGAGATCTTCTGCACTCAGCATGTGGAACAAGATCCGGATTTCGAACACCAACGTCAAGTCAATGCTTCTGTGTGATGGTTGAGAGACCTGGTGCGTTGCGAAAGTGATTTCCAACAAACTGGAGACACTCATCAACAACTGCCTACGCTCACTGGACACTGAAGATCAGATGGCCAGAATAATGAGAATAAGCAACAATGAACTCTGGGAATTGAACCAATCGAGTAGCTATCGCTCAACAAATATGCAGAAGGAAGTAGAGATGAATTGGTCATGCACTGAGAAGACGATTCGGGGGTATCAGATGGGAAACGACTAGTTGGGCGTTGGAGGTGAGGGTGACATGGAGGAGATCGTGTTGGGAAGAAATGAGAGCTTGTGGGCAGTTGTGGAGTCAGGTTCAAAAGTTTGCAGAGAATAGAGTGCAATGGAGACGTGCTACTGAAACCCTATGTCATATTAGGAACTCAAGGGAATAATAATAATAATAATAATATAATTTGTGTTGTCATGCTTGACAAGCCGTTTTTAACTATTAAATCCTTAAAGTAGAAAAATGTATAAATTTGCGATTATACATCTTTGAAAATGAAATCGGCGAAAAGCGACTCCGCTGAAATACTTGTTCTTTCATATCCAGATGGGTGTATCTACAGTTTAATTACTAGTATTTATCTAACCCTTTTTAGTAGTCATCTTGGTGTCTAGCAGTGGGGTCCATGACTTGCATTTCGTCCCATTTGGGACTCATCAGCTGCATGTGCCTGAACTCCAACGAGTGGTTTTGTTCCCACTAAGACTTCTCTATACTGAAAAGAAAAAAATTAATTTGCAGAAGTACTTATTTATGTGCCATGATGGATATCCATCTGCAATAGACAAAAGTTCTTGGTTGTATTGTGTTCTCTGAGCTGAGTTGTTTAATCCTAAAGCTTTCATCACCTTTTTAGACGACATCATCAGAGATATTGACAGCTCAGTTCATACTGAAGTTAGAAAGACGATGAAAGGACCACGATTAAGCAACCTAGCTAAGAGAACATAATACAACCAAGATCATCCACCTAAGCTACAAATATTCCACACTAGACAAAAGTTCTCCTATTCCTTCTTTTTGAGTATTTGCTGGCACACTTTTATATATTAATCCATGTTTTGACATTTAGGAGTGTATATTGACCAGACATAAAAGCATACTTTTTATAAACATTTCAGTTCCTTATATGAATGTGTCTAACCTAGCAATTTAAGAAGTGTTTTTAACGATGGAAGTGATTTATAAAATTACTTGTAAATTAATTAACAGCTGATTTCGGTGTCTCTGCAAAGTTGGCAGACGAAAAGCAAAAAAGATCAACATTTATTGGAACACCTTACTGGATGGCTCCGGAGGTTATTACCTGTGAAACTTTCAAAGATGCACCTTACAATTGGAAAGCTGATATATGGTCTTTTGGTATGTTTCTTTATTAATTCATGTGAATAATTAAATTGAAACTATGTCATTTATACAAATCAACCAACTACTTCTTTGAAGTCAACTTCACCTTGTTTTTCAACTATGAAAAGTGACCATTTAAAAAATTAGTATTTCTGTCTAAATGCAACTTATCCACAAAATCAGTAAGTGAATGAAGTTGAAATAAAATATTTTTAATTCACGTAAATGATAAGCACCGTATATGGGTGGGGCTGTGAACTTGGTTTGCCGTCTCATTTCAACTACACATATATACACCAGGTTTGAAATACATCTGAAGTGATCTAACTCGCCATCGTTATGATTCATTCAAAGGAAATTAGGTGAGATATATGGTTTCTATAGCTGATTCCATCAAAACTTTTCAAGTGTTATTAACTATTTGGTATATCAGTTATATTGTCTCGGATAAAAACCAGATACTCAGTTATAAATGAACACTGGTCAGTACACTATTCTGGGTAACTGGGAGGATATGTTCAAGTGGTAAACTGGAAGAAGAGTTGCTGAACACTGTAAGGATCCTGCGAGACAATAACTACCCACAAAAATAGTTCACTCAATGTTCAAGATCTGAAGACAATAAGTTAAAGAAAATTACATTAAACGAGAGGCCAGTTTTTGCCGGCCTCAAATTGGAAGATGATAATGTCACGGGGAGAGAATCAATCGAGAGCTGAAAACCACACTGAACAGAAAATATCTTGCAGCTAGTTTGATTCTTCTATACACAACAATATACTGCTTGTCATAATCAAAAGTTGTCAGTTCCCCTTTCTATGTTACCTCTAACTGTGTATACAAGTTTACACACATCTGTAGTAACAGTTACATTTGGAGAGCAGAGAGAAATCTGAATTTTTAGAGGAACAAATGGTTTCAATATTGCAGTTGGACGACATTTTATCGATACAGAACATGAGGTAAAAGTCTTTTAACCATTAAATAAACAGGGGTAACTCGAAATGTATTCATTTTATTCTGCTCCAATTGCTTCCCTTGCTCGTTTCAAGTTCATAAAGGAGAATTTTAGCGTGGAGAATCTTTTAAAGTTTGCTGAAGCTGCAGCGATCAGACAACTGAAACCAGAATCATGTGCAGATCATAAGTTAATGATGAATCTTCCTCTCTTTTGGAAACCTGTTCTTCCACTCTTCCTATTGTACGACGAACGCGATAACCATTCAACAATTGGGTCGGAGTCCAATGCTTCACAGTTTCCTACTTTTGTCGATTCGCTATAAAGCTGATGTCAGTCCATGATGAATACTCTCTTAAAAGCAAAAATAAAATCTCCATTAACTTCTAAATACATTAACGTATAGTGCTCATTACTGACATGCTTTGAGATGGATGTCCCGAAGTTCTAATATGAACCCGTGACCTGTGGGGTCAACCCGTTGGAAGTGAAGCGGATGGCAACTGAAGACCTTAGATGATAGTCGCGCTATGTTGCGAACTGATAGAAGTAGGAAACTTCAGCCCAATGGCTGGATGGTTAACGCGTTTGGTGCCAGTGAGATGCGAAGGTCCTGAGTTCGATCCCTTGTGGGGTGGAATCGTGGGGGCGTATTGCTGAGGAGTCCCGTACTAGAACGAAACGGCTGTCTACTGCTCCCAGGTCTTCACTGGTTTCCCATACTATTTTTTCCCTACTATTTTTCTTCTTTGTATCTCTTCATGTCGTTATCACGATGTGTGCATTGCTTCTCATACCATGTTACTTCCTATTAAATAACTTAATTTAATTGCAAAAAGATGTTTTAATTCTGTTGTTGTTTGACAGTCACATGTTTCGGGTTGCAAGCAGCTGATGAAAAACGAGCGAAATGAAATGGCGCCATGTTTATCCTACTCCATACTTTGTTCTCCCCATATTCAAGTTCATGAAGGAGAATGTGTGTATGAAGCTATCCATTCTATTGTGTCTTAGGGTAGCCTTGATTAAATTATTTCGCAACATACTTCATAATTTATTGTTATCGGATATACAACAAAATCTACTCAACCAATCAAAATGAAATTAAGATCTCATCTACAGCTGAGTCTCGTAGTTCAGTTCACCGGACCTAAAACCCGGAGGTCACTGGTCCGAATCCTACTGCAACCCAGATTTTCATTTCACCTTCAATCAACCCCTAGTTCAATCAAAATCTGCCAAACAACGGCCATCCCATGATACTCAAACTGATAATCAATCACCCTGTCTAATTCAGGATGGTTTAGATTGAGTTGAGAAGTCTTGGTTGGGCAACCGGTGTGAGTACTGTCAAGCGATAGCAACACGTCACGAATTCTTATGGCAGTTGAGAAAAACCCCTAGTTGTTGAAGTGAAATCATAAACTGGTCTGAAGCCAGATCTCGTAGCTTTGTTGGTAGAGCACCGAATGGGAACCCTGGAAGTCGCTAATTGGAATCTTTCTGTGGCCCAGATTTTCATATTACCTTCAATCATCACTCAGTATTAATTCAGTTATTGTTTTTTTTCTAGTTTAATGATACATCCTAAATGTGCACCTAGGTATATGTATAGCTTCCGATGAAAAAGACTAAGCGTCGAATTACAATGTTTTGAAAACGAACGTTGACTAATTACTTCAGTGTGTCTCCTTATCTAATGACATGAAGTCCTGGATACTGGCCGGATTTTATCGATCTCTTTGCAATATGACCATCAAGCTAGGAGGCTTAACATCGCAGCACACTCAGTTGGTTGAAGGTGGTTGGCAGGAAGCCCTGAACCTAGGTTTTATGCTTATTAGCACTCGTCAGCAAGGCGTTTCTGCAATCTCAGGGAAGCTAATATCCACTGCAAGATTCGAACCCGCTTAACCCAGTGTTGCAGTCAGTGACGTTACCGCTGAGTTATTCAAGTTTTGATTCACCTACTGTAGGATTGAACTAGATACATTGTTTAGTTACTGGAGAGCACCCAATTTCTTGCCGTCTAGTCCTGGGTACTGACTGAATTTTATCGATCATTTTGCAAGGTGGTCACCAAACTCATAGGCTCAGCATCGTAATACACTTTGATAGATGTATGCATATATGAAAATATAAATTTTGCTCTTCTATGTACTAGGATCATGAGATCGATATAAATTAGTTAACTTCTTTCCGACTAAGACTGCTCACTTAGCTACGAAACTTTTATTCTCAAGGGTTTTATAGAGAGAGGTAAAAGAATTTGTGAGTTCTGGAAATTGTGATGTATGTGTAAGGTAGGTAGAACAGATATAAGGATTTGACTTTCTGTATTCAATGTACTGACATTACTAACAGTGACTGAAGTCTGTGACTTCATGGTTAAGGCCTTAAAATTTCCACGGTTCTGTCACCAATCTGGTCTCCATTTAATACAGTTTGATTCAATTAACTGATTAATATTGTTAACCTGTTTATAACAGGTTTACAAAACCTGTTACTTGAACCTATGTTTCATCATCGCCGCTGAATTACAAGTGAACATTAATCCCCCAACGAAAATGGAAGTCCTGAACGCCATAAAGCTACTGAAATGCGGGAAAGCAGCAGGACCAGATGGAATACCGCCAGAAGCACTGAGAACAGATGCAGAGACAACAGCGGACATGCTCACACCACTATTGCAGAAGATGTGGAAGGAAGAGAAGGTACCTGCCCATTGATTGGAAGAAGGGTTACCTTGTCAAACTGCCGAAGAAAGGAGACCTCAGTGCTTGCAAGAACTGGCGTGGAATCACTCTCCTGTCCACCCCAAGTAAAATATTAAGCCGCATCATCCTGGAGAGGCTTAAAGATGCACTAGATTCAAAACTGCGACCGGAACAGGCAGGCTTCAGGAAGTACAAATCATGTGCTGACCAAATTGCAACGCTTCGTATCATCATAGAACAGAGCGTAGAATGGCAATCAGCTCTATACCTCAACTTCATCGACTTTGAGAAGGCCTTTGACAGCGTCGACCGAGAAGTAATTTGGAAACTGCTTCAATACTACGGAGTACCGCAAACCTTTATCCGCCTCATTCAACAACTATATGAAGATGCCACATGCCAAGTAATCCACAATGGGAAGCTCAGTGATGCTTTTGAAGTGAAGTGAAGACAGGAGTGAAACAAGGTTGCCTACTATCCCCCATGATATTCCTTATTGTGGTGGACTAGATCATGCAGCAAACAGTAGGCAGCGAGAAGAGGGGGATACGCTGGCTGGACTGCGGAAAAGAACCTAGAAGACTTGGATTTCGCCAACGATGACTTATGCCTAATGTCACATAAACTTGAAGATCTGCAGGCAAAAACTAACAAGTTGGTAGAAGAGTCAGGGCAGCGAACACGGGACTTCAGGTGAATATAGAGAAGACAGAAGTGATGAAGATACCGCACCACCAACATCAACAACAACAACAAACTCCAATCACCGTCAACGGGAGAAACTTGAAGGAAGTAACCTCCTTCACTTATCTAGGAAGCACTGTTTCAACTACAGGAGGGAAGGACGAGGACGTGAAAGTCAGAATCGGAAAAGCAAGACAGGTGTTCATTAGCCTGAAACCAGTGTGGAGATCTTCTGCACTCAGCATGTGGAACAAGATACGGATTTTCAACACCAACGTCAAGTCAGTGCTCTTGTATGGCTCAGAGACTTGGCGCGTCACGAAAGGCATTTCCAATAAACTACAGACATTCATCAACAACTGCTTACGCTCGCTGCTGAAGATCAGATGGATTGCCAGAAAGAATAAGCAACAAGGAACTCTGGGAACGAACCAACCAAGAACCTATCACGCAACAAATATGCAGGAAGAAGTGGAGATGGATTGGCCATGCACTGAGAAGGCCGACTGAGGACATCACGCGTCAGGTCGGTTGCTCGAGTGGAATCCCCATGGGAAGCGACGAGTTGGACGTCCGAGGGTGACATGGAGGAGGTCATGCGAGGAGGAAATGAGAGGTTGTGGGCTGTCGTGGAACCAGGTTCAAAAGATCTCAGAGAACAGAGGTCACTGGAGGCGTGCTACTGAAGCCCTATGTTCCACTAGGAACCCAAGGGACTAATAATAAAAAAAATAATAATAAATGTTTCATCATCAAACTGAATTCATTATTATTTGCTATGAAAGTTAAGAACAATCGATGTCCTATTTTGTGAATGTTATGGTTGAGAAATAGGCTATTGGTCAAAAAAAAGTGGTTGACATTTTCTTTTTGTGTAATTGTAGGGTGTGAGTTAGTTACACAATTGTCCATCCGTAAAATTTCGGTAGTGATTAAATTAGCGTTTAGAGAAGATTTTCTCACTATGTAAATGAGTTTTGAAGTCTTTTGAGTTTTAATGACATTTCTGATTTTGTTTATATGTATGTATATATTAAAGTTTGCTTTCAATTTCATGCAGGTATAACTTTAATTGAACTTGCTCAAATGAGACCACCCCATAATTCAATCAATCCAACACGTGTTCTCTTGAAAATTTCTAAATCAGATCCACCTACGTTATCCAAACCACATTTATGGTGAGTTGTCTCTCCCTGTCCCAGGGAATCATTAATACACTTAAGTTCTCATATGCCATTTTCAGTTTTACGTTAATAAAGTAGTCTGTAGATTATAAGCATGTAAACTCATCCCTGCAGTCTCCCCGCTACACAATAGGGAGTAGAAGCAACTTGAATACAGATTGACGAAGAGTCTACACAATAGTTGTGAATAGTGGTCGGTTAAAGACATGGGAAAGACAGCGGTGATAGATCACAGTAGACATTTATTGAGACTTATCAGGTGAACTTGGAAAAAATATTCCAATGGGTAGTCAAACCATAGGGGAGAGAATATGTCTGTAACTTGCCCATCAAAAAGATGAATGAAACGTTAGGTGGAATTCTTTGACGAACAGTTCAGCTGGGCTCCAGCTGCTATCCCGTCACCCGATATCCATTCAGGTCGTGTGCAGAAAGTTGGGACAGACTCTTCAATACCTAAGTTAATAAAGCTATAAACAACTCAAAACGAGGAAGTGTAGCAGGACCAGATGGCCTATTACCAGGGGCACTTAAGGATGGTGGTTCAGGATTATTGGTCAGATCAGTTGAAGTATTAAACAGAGTATGGGAATCAGACAAACCACATCTCAATGGTCTCAATCATTTGTTATTCCAGTCTTCAAGAAAGGGGAAACGTTCCCTTGGGATAACCCCAGGGAAGTCGGTTGGATGAACATAGTGTCCCGCCAGAAGCATTGAGAGCAGATACAGAGACAACAGCGGACATGCTCACACCACTATTACAGAAGGTCTGGAAGCAAGGGAAGGTACCGGCAGATTGGATGAAGGGCTATCTTACCCAAGAAGGGTGGGCGACCTAAGTCTTTGCAAGAACTTGTGAGGAATCATGCTTCTGTCCACCCACAGCAAGCAAAATATTATACCTCATCATCCTGGAGAGACTAAAGGATGCGTTCGATTCAAAAGTACGACCGGAACAGGCTGGCTGGCTGGCTTCAGGAAGTACAAATCGTGTGCGGATCAAATAGCAACGCCACACCACGCATCATCATAGAACAGAGTATAGAATGGCAGTCAACTCTTCACCTTAACTCAACTTCATCCACTTTGAAGAGTCTTTTGACAGCGTCGACCTAGAAGTAATTTGGCAGTTGCTTCAACACTATGGAATACCACAAACCTTTATCAACCTCATTCAACAACTATGTGAAGACGCTACATACCAGCCAAGTAATTCACAATGGGAAGCTCAGTGATGCTTTTGAAGTGAAGTGAAGACAGGAGTAAAACAAGGCTGTCTACTATCACCGATGATCTTCCTGATTGTAGTGGACTGGATCATGCAGCAAACAGTGAGAGGTGAGAAGAGGGTGATACGCCGGCTGGACCGGGGAAAAGATCCTAGGAGATTTGGATTTCACTGATGACTTGTGTCTAATGTCAGACAAACTGGAATATCTACAGGCGAAATCGAACAAGTTGACAGGAGAGGGAGGGTAGCGAACACGGGACTTCAAGTGGACGTGGAGAAGATAGAGGTGATGAAGATACCCAACCAACACCAACACCACCAACGACAACAACAACAGCAACAACAAGCTCCAGCCACCATCGGTGGGGGAAACTTTAAGGAAGTATCCTCTTTCACGTGTCTAGGCAGCACGGTTTCAACTACAGGCGGCACAGACAAGGACGTGAAAGTCAGGATCGGAAAGTCAGCAAGACAGGCGTTCATTAACCTGGAACTAGTGGTGAGATCTTCTGCACTCAGCATGTGGAACAAGATCCGGATTTCGAACACCAACGTCAAGTCAATGCTTCTGTGTGATGGTTGAGAGACCTGGTGCGTTGCGAAAGTGATTTCCAACAAACTGGAGACACTCATCAACAACTGCCTACGCTCACTGGACACTGAAGATCAGATGGCCAGAATAATGAGAATAAGCAACAATGAACTCTGGGAATTGAACCAATCGAGTAGCTATCGCTCAACAAATATGCAGAAGGAAGTAGAGATGAATTGGTCATGCACTGAGAAGACGATTCGGGGGTATCAGATGGGAAACGACTAGTTGGGCGTTGGAGGTGAGGGTGACATGGAGGAGATCGTGTTGGGAAGAAATGAGAGCTTGTGGGCAGTTGTGGAGTCAGGTTCAAAAGTTTGCAGAGAATAGAGTGCAATGGAGACGTGCTACTGAAACCCTATGTCATATTAGGAACCCAAGGGACAAATAATAAATGATATTAATGATAATAATAATAATCACTATAGGCCTGACTGGAGTTCAAATGCAAGTTTGCCTACATTGATCTGGCAACTAGTTGGTATTGTAATCAATCAAATAATAACTGATTTGAGTTATAACGTAGCATACAAAATGTTTTACCGGAGTTGTGGATCATTATTTAAAGCCTTCTGTTCCCAACCACTGAATCTTGGTTACGAACCTTGCTGCACATACATAGGTTTTAGCAACGGCGTAGCATCATTAGCTCTCACACATTTAGTGTGGCTCTTGGCCTAATGCGCAGACATGCATATTTTTATTGAGTGGATTTCATTTCTCCTCTCACTGAATGCATGAGTTACTTTGAGTAGAGCCATTGGTTTAAGTAATAGACCGATGTGTCAAATGTTTGAACTCTGTTCCACATACCGAGGTTTAAAGGTAGCCAGATAGGTTCATCAACCGTCACAAAAAGGTCTAGAAACCTACATGCGGTCTTCAAGTTACATAATAATATCATTATTATTATGAGTCTTTCAGGTGGTAGAAAAATGTTATACCTACTGTTTAATATAATCTCTACTGTAGGTCTTCCAAATTTAACGCATTTTTGGCACGCATTCTTCAAAAAGATCCAAATAAAAGACCAGAATGTAAAGATCTTTTATTGGTAAGTATAAAATTGTCTCTTACTACTTTTTTATTTTGAATGTGTTGTTTCTATTTAAAACAGGTTGTAAGTACGCGTAAAGTGAAGTGTTTAAGACTCGAGTTCGTTTCACCTACCAGTAACTATTGATATTTCCATTCCAATTGTCCAGGGAGATACCCTCAGCTTAGTGGTAATTGAATAAATAGAAAGTTAAACTACAGGCGGCGGCATAGGTGAGGACGTCAAAGCCAGGATCGGAATAGCAAGAAAGGCTTTCATTAATCTGAAATCAGTGTGGAGATCTGCTCCACTCCACTGCACTGCACTCACCATAAAGCGTCAGCAAGATCCAGATTTTCAACACTAATCTCAGTCAAGTCAGTGCTTCTATGTAATGGTTGAGAAACTTGGAGCGTTACGAAAAGAATTCCCAACAAACTGCAGACATCAGCAGCTGCCGACAACGTTCGCTCACTGAATACTGAAGATCACATGGCGAGAATAATAAGAATAAGCAAGGAGGAACTCACTCTGGCCTGGCAACGAACCAACCAACAACCTGTCGCCTAACAAATATGCAGAAGAAGGAGGTGGAGATGGATTGGGAATACACTGAGAAAGAAGACCATTTAGGGACATCACACGTCAGGCCTTCGAGTGGAACCCAAATGGGAAACTACGAGCTTAGCGTTTGAGGAAGAAATGAAAGCTTGTGGGCAGTCGTGAATCCAGGTTCAGAAGACTCGAGAGAAGAAAGTGAAATGGCGACATGCTACTGACGTCCTATGTCCCACTAGGAACCGAAGGGACAAATAAATATTAAAATAAACTGCAGGTATATCTTCATAGTCAAAAAGTGATAATAGAATTCATGTAGCAGCTTTTCTAGATGGAAATTGTATTCTTCATAATATACATTCTTGTTGCAAACACCATATTTCAACTAATTATATAAACACCTATGAACATCCATATCGTCTCTTCTGTAATAAATATTGACTGAGATTTTAAAGCCTTAAGCGGTTTTCGTCAATACCTCAAAATGTCTTGGCAAAGCTAGAACAATAAGTTTAGGAGAGAGTACAATGAATTCATTGTATTTTGTTGCCATCTCTTCAACTGCATACGGGTTATAAATTCATAATATTTATCAGTAAAGAGAAATGAAATGATGGCATGATTCAAAGGTCAGTCAGTCTATCGAAAACCAACCTGGACTGGTCAGTTCACTAACTTTAATAGTTGGGTACCTCTTAGTTGTAAAAGAAATCTCATTCACTCTCTGTTCCAGAATCTATAAAATCTGTTTAGAAGACACAGTGGATGTTGAAATCGGAACTCTTAGAACAACACTATCAAATAACGGATACCCTAAAAGATTTATTGATAAGAATCTGAAGAAATGAATCACCCCTCATCTTATTACAGTTCTTTAGAAAATCTGGAATTCAAGGGTGATACCACAGCCAAAGTGCTGAAAAACTGTCTGTCAAAGTGTATCAATGGTAGCTTTTATGCTGCTAGACTGAGATTGATTTTCTCCAGCCGCCGTCTGATTCGACAATGCGTGAAGGATGGGCTAACACATGTATGTCTATCTACAAATTCTCATGCTTCTGTGGAGCTGACGTTGTAAGCGGGCCCTCCGAAAACCTGTTACTAAACATTACCCGGTTTGGCTTACCAAAGGTGAGGGAAGAAAACAAACAACTTCATCTATATGTGAACACCTAGTAGAGTTAAGTCATTCTGTACCTCGAGTTACATTCTTTAAAGAAATGAAATCCATATAATTCACTTATCAGGAAGATGATAATCCATTGATGACATTAGAAAGAATTGACATAGGTTAGGGAAGTTTAAATGAAATGATTTGGGATTACTAAAGTTGAAGTCATATTATGTTTATATGGTCAGATTGTCATCCTGCTACATGTGACCAATCAAAATGGTATAGAAAGTGTTACGTAAGTGTATGTGATGCGTTAATAATGTAAATATAGGGTCAAAATGTTTTGCATAGGTTAAGGTCGTCAGACAGGGTCGAGTAGTGAACTGGTGAAAATGAAATAGATGATTGTGATTTGGTTTAATTCTTCTGATGGCAATTGCTTCCGGAAATCTTAGTAATTCGTTAATTGTTTTAAATGCTTTCGAGATATGGATGTCGTGTCCTGTATCCGTCAGATGTTTAGTGATGAAAATTTTAAGGCACTTTGGCTCTTTTAAGCTTAACTTAGTTGAAATGTATTAACGAAATCTAGTCTCAATCCTCCTCTCTGTTCTTCCAGTGTACGTGCTGTGACATGTACATGTGAAATGGTAGATTATAATGTGAGGTGACATGAGGTGGGAACCTGTCGACTTTTGATTGTTATAGTAAACACTTTGTTTTGTATACGGAAACTAATTTAGCTTCTGGAGAAGCGATTTTTAGTGTAATTCTCATTACTATCATCATTACTATACATAATTAAAACACAGGCAATATCGAGGCATCCACACAGGAGCCCATATGCCAACTGAGACTGATCAATTCGGTCCAATCAACGACGGTGTAATACAAGCAATAACACTAAACCTGTTATACATTGTAAATTGACTGATATCTGTAGCTAATTTGGTTCTTTCCAACTTGACCATAAATACATCCGCAGGGAGAGGTCCCAAAGGACTTTCCATTGCCGCTCCATCTGTATGGGGGTATAATTCGTTGTTGAATTGAAATTGCGCAGTCTTTGCACACAATAACAGTAATTTCTTAAGTTCCGTTCTGGGCATACATATTTGACAGACAATATCCACTGTTTATTCCAGCGGTACGTTGATAAACGATGCTGACATATTATAAGATACCATCAAGTTATCTTTGTTAGTGGCTTCGTCTGTTATTTGCGCAAATTCAAATGTATCTTTCAGACTATAGATTGTTAGCTTCTTTCGAATTGGATCTAGTTGATTTGCCAACCATCGAGCTAATTTGTGGCAGAGTGAGTTGATTATAGACAGAATGGGTCTCAAAGTGTGTTTTCTTGTTATATTGCATTGTACATGATTTTTTTTCCCGGTGAATTTCCAGTTCGATCGATACCATTTCGTAACCTCATTTATTGTTCAAATCTATATTTTCAATCCGTGGCATTTTCCAGATGACTTCTGACTCTAAGTAAACTGGACTAGATGACCTGTTGGCATAAATCGATAGGTCACAGGCTCGAATCCTTCTTGACCTATCAAGATTGGAACACCCAAATAGATCGATACTAGATTTGCCCTTAATACACTGAGTTGTGCGTGATTTTTGCACTTCACCGGTGTTTTTTTTTCTCCAGTGAACTGATTCTTGGGTGTTAGTTACTGCATTTTGGAGTCGCGGCATATTAATATAGACACTTGACTATCGGGTTAAGGGATACAAACCTATACTAAATATATTTCAATGTTTCTAGGGCTACTAAGTGCGTTAGTACCATTTAAATTGATACAGCAAGTGTAACGCACAACTTAAACCGCTTAAATGACTAATTAATTTTATATTCTACAGCATAGAAGCTCACTCAGCATTGTAGAAATTCAAAAAAATTCCTTGTTTATGCGTAAATTAGTTTCTTTAAAGTTATGTAGGATAGTGAATTTCTAGTTAAGATAGGAAAATTAATCAAGTTGTACATTAGGTATCGATTTCAGGTATACGTATTCAAGTTCTGAGTACTTCTTGCTTATTACGATTCTCACCATTAGCGTTCTCACTTAACACAAATGGTAAATAGTCGTTCCATATTAGACTTTTTTGTTCAATATGTAGAGCACAAGGATACAGTGTTATTTACTTGATGGCGTTTCGAGTATAAATTATTGCTCATAATCATATCAATAAAATCATACAAATTTTGACATCTGCTTTTATAGTCCTGTCACCTCATATTATTTGTTTTTATTAGTAGTAAAGTTTTCCATATCTCTGGTATAGGTGTTGCGTCATTTCTATTACACATGTGTTGGATGGTGATTCGATGAACAAAAATTCAGTAACCATCCCTTCTCTCCACCTAATTACATTGGATTTAAGTCCAGTGGTTTTATCGCACCCTGTTGTGTGGTTGTATGTTAATGGATGCATTGCAATAGCCGAATGTTTTTCAAAACTATTGATCTTATTCTGATCTATCATTCTATATATTTTGCTAAATTCCTATGTTCCGCTATTTTAACTGACCCCGACTGGTTAGTTTGACCTATACATAGAATTTCGTAGGTTAGATTAGTTTACTTAATTGCTTCTATCGGATCCTTAAGCCGACAAAGGTTATCTCTGAGTGAGTTTGTAGGTTTAAATCCCACCCTCAATGCAGCTTTGCTGAGAATCCTACGTAAAGTTTCTGATGTTCCTTCCTTGTAGGGCAACACAGTAGAGGCTTTGAACTTCTTCCTACTAATGTTGTCGCTATTATTAGTACTCGTAACTGTTATTACTGTGTTTGTACGAATTTCCTAATAAACGATAGAGGATAACTATTAACCCTTCTTATGTGTGTTTTAGTTCTTTGTTTAAGTCTTTGCACTGACTAGTCAGTTTTCTAGCTCTTTTATTTGAACATTCTACTAAACCTACCTTAACTGACATTGGATGGGATGACCTGTCAGCCCATAATGAATACCGACCTGAAATCAATGAATAAATCCCCACATACCTTCAAATTGAATTTTACTTCCCATATGACCTTTTGTTCCAATCGATTCGCGTAAGCAAGCGAAATTAGTGATTAAAGACTCGAAATGATGCGATTAGTGTTAGTCGCATAGATGCCTGTCCACATTGTCTTCATTTTAATGGTCATACCGTATTTCATTATTTGTCTATTCCTATTCCTTGTCCTCTCTCTATGACTTGACTGTACATTATTCATCTGCTCTCCTATCTTTCATCTTTTCCCTTTTTTACGGTATGACGTGTGTGTGGTAACGTTTACCGTTGCTCAGTATCGTCAGCTCCCACTTTAGTATTAACTGACTCACTT